AATAAAAGAATTCAATAATTAGTACTGTAGAACCTTTAAAAACAGCCTGTAGAAGTCACAAGTAAAAGAATTCAATACTTAGTACAAAAAACAGCCTCTAGAAGTCGCAAGTAAAAAGAATTCAATACTTAGTACTGTAGAACCATTAAAACAACCTCCAGAAACCAAGTAAAATAAAAACTTAGTCTGTAGAACCTTCAAAAAACAGCCTCTGGAAGTCACAAGTAAAAGAATTCAATACTTAGTACTGTAGAACCTTCAAAAACAGCCTCTAGAAGTCACAAGTAAAAGAATTCAATACTTAGTACTGTAGAACCTTCAAAAACAGCCTCCAGAAGTCACAAGTAAAAGAATTCAATACTTAGTACTGTAGAATTTTCAAAAACAGCCTCTAGAAGTCACAAGTAAAAGAATTCAATACTTAGTACTGTAGAACCTTCAAAAACAGACTCTAGAAGTCATAAGTAAAAAGAATTCAATACTTAGTACTGTAGAACCTATAAAAAACAGCCTCTAGAAGCAAGTAAAAAGAATTCAATACTTAGTACTGAATTTCAAAAAAAGCGTCTAGAAGTCACAAGTAAAAGAATTCAATACTTTAGTACTGTAGAACCTTCAAAAAGCCTCTAAAGTCATAAATGAAAAGAATTCAATACTTAGTACTGTAGAACCTTCAAAAACAGCCTCTAAGTTAAGAAAAAAAGAATTCAATATTTAGTACTGTAGAACCATTAAAAACAGCCTCCAGAAGTCATAAATAAAAGAATTCAATAATTAGTACTGTAGAACCTTTAAAAACAGCCTGTAGAAGTCACAAGTAAAAGAATTCAATACTTAGTGCTGTAGAACCTTCAAAAACAGCCTCTAGAAGTCGCAAGTAAAAGAATTCAATACTTAGTACTGTAGAACCATTAAAAACAGCCTCCAGAAGTCACAAGTAAAAGAATTCAATACTTAGTACTGTAGAACCTTCAAAAACAGCCTCTGGAAGTCACAAGTAAAAGAATTCAATACTTAGTACTGTAGAACCTTCAAAAACAGCCTCTAGAAGTCGCAGTAAAAAAGAATTCAATACTTAGTACTGTAGAACCTTCAAAAACAGCCTCTAGAAGTCAAGTAAAAGAATTCAATACTTAGTGCTGTAGAACCTTCAAAACAGCCTCTAGAAAAAGTAAAAAGAATTCAATACTTAGTACTGTAGAACCTTCAAAAACAGCCTCTAGAAGTCATAAGTAAAAGAATTCAATACTTAGTGCTGTAGAACCTTCAAAAACAGCCTCTAGAAGCAAGTAAAAAGAATTCAATAGTCTGTAGAACCTTCAAAAAACAAAAGTCACAAGTAAAAAGAATTCAATACTTAGTGCTGTAGAACCTTCAAAACAGCCTCTAGAAGTCGCAAGTAAAAAGAATTCAATACTTAGTACTGTAGAACCATTAAAAACAGCCTCCAGAAGTCACAAGTAAAAAGAATTCAATACTTAGTACTGTAGAACCTTCAAAAACACCTCTGGAAGTCAAGTAAAGAATTCAATACTTAGTACTGTAGAACCTTCAAAAACAGCCTCTAGAAGAAGTAAAAAGAATTCAATACTTAGTACTGTAGAACCTTCAAAAACAGCCTCTGGAAGTCACAAGTAAAAGAATTCAATACTTAGTACTGTAGAACCATTAAAAACAGCCTCCAGAAGTCACAAGTAAAAGAATTCAATACTTAGTACTGTAGAATTTTCAAAAACAGGCTCTAGAAGTCACAAGTAAAAGAATTCAATACTTAGTACTGTAGAAGCTTCAAAAACAGCCTCTAGAAGTCACAAGTAAAAGAATTCAATACTTAGTACTGTAGAACCTTCAAAAACAGCCTCTAGAAGTCACAAGTAAAAGAATTCAATACTTAGTACTGTAGAACCTTCAAAAACAGCCTCTAGAAGTCATAAATAAAAGAATTCAATAATTAGTACTGTAGAACCTTCAAAAACAGCCTGTAGAAGTCACAAGTAAAAGAATTCAATAATTAGTACTGTAGAACCTTCAAAAACAACCTCTAGAAGTTATGAGTAAAAGAATTCAATACTTAGTACTGTAGAACCTTCAAAAACAGCCTCTAGAAGTCACAAGTAAAAGAATTCAATACTTAGTACTGTAGAACCTTCAAAAACAGCCTCTAGAAGTCACAAGTAAAAGAATTCAATACTTAGTACTGTAGAATTTTCAAAAACAGGCTCTAGAAGTCACAAGTAAAAGAATTCAATACTTAGTACTGTAGAATTTCCAAAAACAGGCTCTAGAAGTCACAAGTAAAAGAATTCAATACTTAGTACTGTAGAATTTTCAAAAACAGGCTCTAGAAGTCACAAGTAAAAAAAAATTCAATACTTAGTACTGTAGAATTTTCAAAAAACAGGCTCTAGAAGTCACAAGTAAAAAAGAATTCAATACTTAGTACTGTAGAATTTTCAAAAACAGGCTCTAGAAGTCCCAAGTAAAAGAATTCAATACTTAGTACTGTAGAATTTTCAAAAACAGCCTCTAGAAGTCACAAGTAAAAGAATTCAATACTTAGTACTGTAGAACCTTCAAAAACAGCCTCTAGAAGTCACAAGTAAAAGAATTCAATACTTAGTACTGTAGAACCTTCAAAAGCATCCTCTAGAAGTCACAAGTAAAAGAATTCAATACTTAGTACTGCAGAATTTTCAAAAACAGCCTCTAAACATCAGAAATAAAAGAATTGAAATCTTAGTACTGTAGAATCTTCAAAAGCAGCCTCCAGAAGTCACAAGTAAGAAGATTCAAAATTTAGTAATGTAGGATTTTCAAAAGTATCTCTCTAAGTCACAAGTCGGAAAATTCAAAATTTAGTCACCTTAAGCTCTGAAATGTAATCCAAAATCTCCTAAGCAGTGAAATTAACAAATTTACTAGTGCTTGTTTTTTTTCCAAAAATCCATCAGAAAATACAATTAGTAAAATTAAAAATTTAGTCGCGTTGGGATTTCAAAAGTATCTCAACTTGGCTTTGCTGTCACTAAACGAGGCGTGTGAAACAATGTCTTGAACCTCTCAGCTGGTTGTATTCGACTCTAACATTGAGCTTAACAACCTACGTGCACAATTATATGATGTGGTTGGGAACAGGGCGGGAATGTCTGCCATATCGTTCGGAAAATATCACAATTCTGTAAAATGCCCCGGACACTTCTGATGCTGAACAGCCAGTACAGTGGCGGGTCATTAGAGATGCCCTTAGGGTTAAAATATTTAGAACATATGAGTGCATAAACTGACAAATAAAAAATATTATGAAACGATGCAAGTTTAAAGAGAGATGTGGAAAATTAGGCGGAGATGGCGTCGGGATTGATATGAACGAAAAGATTAATAGTTTGGCTTTTAATTGGGGAAAATAAGAAGAGTAAGACAATGAGCCAAAGAATAAGGGGTTTTGAGAGAAGGCGAAAAAGAAGGCGAAAAAGAAGGCGAAAAAGAAGGCAAAATATAAGGTAAAGGAGAAAGAAAAAGATAATGAATGAAAACGATAAAAAAATAAAGAATTCCGGAAGCGAAGAGGGAAAGTTATTTCGAGGGGAAAAGAAGAAAGAAGAAAGAGAAAGAAAGAAGAAAGAGAAAGAAAGAAGAAAGAGAAAGAAAGAAGAACGAAAAGAAGAAGAGATGAGAGAGAAAAATAAGAAACAGACGAATATGCAAAAAAGGAGAGAAAGAAGAAGAAGAAGAAGAAGAAGAAGAAGAAGAAGAAGAAGAAGAAAAAAAAAGAAAAGGTGGCAAAAAATAGTGAAAATTGAAAGAAAAAGGAATCAAGGAAAAAGAGATAAAGAAAAAGATGGGGAAAAGGTAAAGAAAGTGAATTTATAAAACGGAAAAGAAAAAAAAGACGAAGAAGCAATATATGATAGGGATTGAAAACATTCGGAAAACAACAAAAAATAACAAAAATATACTAAAAGGAATAAGAAATCTTAAAAGAAAATGGCAAATTATAAAATAGAAGAAGAAGAAGAGGAAGAAGAAGAAGAAAAAGAGGAGGATGCGGAGGAAGAAGAAAAAGAAGAGTAGCAGGAGCAAGAGCACTTGAAAGAAGAAGAAGGGGGGATCAGGAGCGTGAAGAAGAAGAAGGAAGAAGAAGAAGAAGAAGAAGAAGAAGAAGAAGAAGAAGAAGAAGAAGAAGAAAATTTCAAACGGAAAACAAAGCAGGAGAAAAGTATGCCGAAAGAGAAATTAAGAAGAAATGGAAAAAGGAAAACGAAAGATAAAAAAGAAAATAGGAACGACGAGAAGAAGAAGAAGAAGAAGAAGAAGAAGAAGAAGAAGAAGAAGAAGAAAACGGGAAAAGAAAAGAAAAGAGTTTATAAAATAGAAGGAAAAGGAAAGAAAACAGGAGAAATGGAAAGAAGAAGAAGAAGAAGAAGAACAAGAACAACAACAACAACAACAACAACAACAACAACAAGATTAAAAAGGCAGGGGAAAAAAATAAGCAAACTGAAAAAAAAAGAAATGGTTAAGAAAGAAAGAGAGGAAGAAAGAAAGAAAAGTTCAACAGAAACATTTTTAAATAGGAAAATGAAAGAATAAATATAATGAAAAGAATCAGGAAAAAGAAGAAGATGGGCGCCGACGGCGCCATGTTAGGTGGTCTGAGACCTAGCCGCAACAACGGTGGCAGCTGCTCTAAACATCTCCCCCTACTAACCTCCATCTCAACCTTACTTCACCAATTAGGCACACCGGGACGGTAGTGATGGCCTCCAGGTGAACACAACCAAACATGATCGACATCCACTTTTCTAGAACGAACAGAAAAGATGATTTAGCGATTAGTTTGAGGAAATATCATAAACTTTCTCTCACAGCGTAGCGAATTAAAAATCCTTAAGGGTTTTTGATTTTTTTATTTCTTTTTTTTCCCCCGCCTTTTTCTTGTAGTTTTCTTTCTCTGTTTTCGTTTGCGATAGCTTTGTCTTATCGTCTGCATTTCAATGTCAATGCTTTTTTACCTTTTGTTCGTTACTTCCTTCTCTTCATTCTCTCAACGCTTTCCTTACCTTTTTTTTATTTTATTTTTCCTTTATAGAATTGTCCATTATATTTTCTTTCTTTGTATTTCAAACTATCTTTTTTCTTTTTTTATAGGCTTTTTAGGTCGTTTTCTTTCTTGTTATCCTTCATTTTAATCTTTTCTTTGTTGTAAGCTTTTTCTTTCTTTCTTTCTATCCACAATTTTGACCTCTTTCTCTCTTCTTTATTGCAACAGTGTCACTTTTTTTATTCTTCTCTCTTGTGTATATATCTTCTTTTCTTCTTCTTTCACTTGTTTTTCTTCCTCTTATGGTCGTTTTCTTTTTTTATTTCTCTCTCTCTCTCTCTCTCAAGGCTTTCCCCCAATCCCTCTCTTTTTCAAAAGTTTCCCTTTCTTCTCTCTCTCTCTCTCTCTCTCTCTCTCGTGAAGCTGTTTCTTTTTCTTTTTGTTTTTTGCTCTCCACTTTTCTTCCTTTTTATTTTCCTAACGCTTTTTTGTGAACTTTTATGTTCTTTTTTTTCTTTCTTTCTTTTGATTCACACCGTCTCCTTCTTTTCTCTTAACTCTTTGCTTCGTTTTTCTCTATTTCTTTTCTTTTTTGTTATAATTTATATTTATCTTCTTTCTCTCTCGCGAGACTTGTCGTTCATTTCTTCTTTTTTTTTTGTTGTTTCTTTCTTTTTTCGATAATTTCACCTTCCCTCTTTTTCCGTCTTTTTTTCCAGAATTTTACTCTCTTCCCCCCTTCACTTTCTCACTCTCAATTCCTTCTCTCTTCTCAGCCTTTACTTTCATTCCTCCATTCTCTTTATCTTTCCTTAAAAGAATATCTTTCTCCCTTGTTATTTCTTTTTCTTCTCACTTGGGAGTTTTGTCTTTCTTTTCTTATTTTTATGAATTTTCTCACTCTTCTTGAAGTCTCAACACGTTTTTCGCCTCGCCATCTCTACTTACTGGAGTCAATTTTTTTATTTATGTTTTTTCATTTCTTTTTTTTTCTTCTTCTTCTCTTCCTCCTCCTCCTCCTCTTTCTTCTTCTTTCTCCTTATTTTTCTTCTTCTTCTTCTTCTTCTCCTCCTCCTCTTCCTCCTTCTTCTTTTTCTACTTCTTTTTTTTCTTCTTCTTCTTCTTCTTCTTCTTCTTCTTCTTCTTCTTCTTCTTCTTCTTCTTCTTCTTCTTCAAAAACAATCTTTATATTTCATTCCCATTTTCTTTCATTTTTTATTTCATTAATTCTTTTTTTCCGCCAATTTTTCTCCAATCAACGTTTTCTCCTCCCCTTCTACTTCTCCTTCTTCTTCTTCTTCTCCTCCTCCTCCTTCTTCTTCTCTTTCTTCTACTTTTCCTTTTTCTTCTTCTTCTTTTTCTCCTACTTCTTCTTCTTCTTCTTCTTCTTCTTCTTCTTCAAAAACAATCTTTATATTTCATTCCCATTTTCTTTCAATTTTTATTTCATTAATTCTTCTTTCTTTTCCGCTCAGTTTTCTCCAACCCACGTTTTTTTGGGGGGGTGGGGGAGTTCGTTTATATTCACTTTTCTTTCTTCTTCTTCTTCTTCTTCTTCTTCTTCTTCTTCTTCTTTTCATTCGATTCTTTCCTTTCTTTTTTTTATCATTGCTCCTCATCCGCTTCTCCTACTCTAGTCATCTTCTTCTATCTCCTCTTTCTGGTTAACCTCTCCCTTTCCTGCTTTCTTCTTTTGCATCCACAAAGACGAATCCGTCCGGAAACAATTAAATCAAACATGTCGCCGGCTGATCGTATCCCAACCTCCAGACACACAACTAAGAAATGCGCCCGTCCCCTATAATTTATAGTAATTAGCAAAGTGGCTTTCTATCGGCAATCCGGAGCGACGCTTTGGTCTGGGCCCGCCATTACCATTAGCCCTGATTCTTCTACACAAAAGACGCCCATGCCATAAAATGTTCACTGATTATTTATACTATTTATTTGAATGTATCAAAAATATTTTCTTTTTTTAGAGACCGTTACTCAAAATCTTATTTTGTGTAGACATCTAAAGACAATGACTCGACAACATTACTACTACTAGCTCTTCTATTCAATAAATCAATAAAAGTTTAATGAACTTATCTCATTGATCGACTCTAGAGTTTCGCGTCAAATCGCTCATCAGGATCAAATTATCAATAAATCTATTAAACTTTTTATAAAATTGTCTATTTTTTTTTCAATTAATTTTATTTCACAATTCTGTTATATAAGGCTGACTTGTAATCTTTTTCTTCTGTGGGCCGTCTCCCTTCAGAACGTTGGTGATCATGGCTCTCCACAATTTCCTGTCCTTTGTAGCTTTTGTCTTTTTGCCGATTCTCCAAAACCGTCTCTCCATTTACTCAAACTCGCCAGGTAGGTCGGGCGTTGCTTTCCTGTCTCTCTTACCTTTAAGCTTTCCTGTGAGTATCAAATTTTCCAAGCCCTCTTTCCTCGTTATGTACGCCAGGAATTTCAGCTGTCTCTTCCTGATGATAAGAGATTTCTGTCCGAAGAGATCAATATGTAAATATTCACGAAATTAGTTAGTCTTAGTGGATTTATACCTTGCTTGGGGTGAAATGATTAAAAAAATGTACATATATTAAATTATCAGTTCAATTACTTATAGATAGAACGAGTCAGAGGCTAGAAATTAGAATAAGTCAACTTGTGCCAGATAATAATCGTAAAGAGCAATTCAATAATTTGTATAGGTACATCAATACATCTGGTTCTACGATAGCTAAGTATTCTATAATAAACACATATTCTCAGTTCTCAGTAGGTTTAATTCGGACTTGTACTTGAAAGTACTGGAGACTAAAGGAGTGGATGTTTGAATTTGAATGTAATTTACCAGTGAACTTGATTACGTTATATATATATATATATATATATATATATATTAAGAAATGGACAAGGTCCGACAATTTATTTATTAAATTGAATGAATGAATTTTCATAGAATCCTGTCAAAGAACGAATATTTTCTATGAAAATTTCTCGGACATTCAGGCCGGTAAATGTTATTTAATACTGTTTATCATAAACAGAGCATTTGCTTAAATACTTGTATCTATAAAATAACAACGTTAACCATAATAAAATGTCTTTAATAAATAAATTGTCGGACCTTGTCCATTTCTTAATATATGACGTCATTTGTTTACATTTCGATACGCCAGAGCAGTTATGAATGTACGAGATTCATGGAAAATTGGAGTTTATAAGCAGTAAATTCGACCTTGTCTACCGAACGCTTCTTTGTAGCCTAGCGGTAAGGCACGTCAGCGTATATGACGGTTCCGTATAGGATGCAGGTTCGAATCCTGTCAAAGAACGAATATTTTCTATGAAATTCAGGCCGGTAAATGTTATTTAATACTGTTTATCATAAACAGAGCATTTGCTTAAATACTTGTATCTATAAAATAACAACGTTAAACATAATAAAATGTCTTTAATATATATATATATATATATATATATATATATTGACATGTCTCATTGAATAATTTAGACAAGTTTTGTCTACTTATTTTCAACAAGATCCTCTCATATTCACAGACAAGTTTCTTAGTATCCTTATTAAAGGAAGAGAAAAAAATTACCATGTTAATATATATTCGTTTATTCTGAGTAGTTTCGACATTAGCCAAATGTCATCATCAGGGTGTTTTTTTTTTTTTTTTTTTTTTTTTTTTTTTTTCTAAGACAAAATTGTTGTGTTCATCTGAAAGTTATTTTTTTAACTGTCGCGTGAAAAACGTTTAGATTATATACTGTACGATTTAAATTTCACGATGTACACGTCAGGGGAGGTAACTAGGTTTGGAATGTCCATATTTTAAAAACATTTCTGCCAAACCTGCTCTAAAACGCGCATCATTGAGAGATAGCGCACCCCGGATCAATCGCCAGGTAAGCGAAATTTCAGGGTTACTGATGTAATCCGCCGCTGGCGCGAAGGACCAGGAATAGTGCAACTCGGCTGCCGACAAATCGATCATCCGACAGAGTTGGTTCGACCCGACTCCCTCCACAAATCCCAAATCCCTGGTGCAATGTCTTCCTAGGCCGTGAAAGATCACCGAACCGAGGAGTAACACGTACGGCCTGACGACATTTGTTGAGATAACCCGGCTGATTCCGAGTGGTTCATCTGTTAACACGCGGCATAGGAAAAACCAACATCGAAGCCTATCGGTGACTCGCCGAGTGCGGCATTTCCAGCCCTCCAATGATACGGAAGCTGATGATCCGCGGGCTCGTTTCCTCCTCACAAGAGGGAGAAGAACACGAGCGCCTCAAATGATCCTTACAGAGGAGTACAGATATTCGATAAAGCATGAGGGGAAAAATGTACACGGAAACACCTCAGTCATATCTTTCAATGACAACCGCCTTCGAAGCCAAGCCCGGAACGCTGCTCGTACCTTTGCCTGTACCTCCGGCCAATTTTTCTCCAACTGAAGATCCGGCCCGAACCGCACTTCATGAATGCGGACGGGACCGTCAGTCCAACTGTAGGGCCCCGGAATAGCAACGCCTTTCCAAGCACCTAACTGCAAGCTGAATGACTTGTTGCGGTTAATATTGGCTCCGCAAAAACGCTCGGCCGCTTACCGTTCAACTGTACCACCACACTGGGGAAGCGATACAGCAGGATTATCCACTTGCAGAAGTCGAGTAGAAATTCGGCGGCCTGCAGGACAGCCACCAGAAACTGATGGCCGATCATGTCGAATACCTTGGACAGATCCAAAATGATCAGTACTGCTTCTTCGCCGTTTTCTACGTCCTCTGTTATCGTGCGGATCAGATGCAGGTTGCTCTGAATTGTTCGGCCCTTCATAGCAAAAGTTTGCTCTCGTCCCAACAGAATCTCAGCAACTGACTGTAAATGCTTTGTTAGGATTTAGGTCAAAATCTTTAACTCTGTGTTTAGAAGAGATATGGGCCTGTAATCGTCTAAATTCCGCCCACTATGCTTGTCCTTTTTCAAAAGCTTGATCATACCCTTGGACATCCGATCGGGGACGGATAACCTGCCGGAACCAGTTGTTGAACACCACAATCAAAACCGGAACAAACACGTGAAACAGCCTCAACTACAATTCGTATGGAAGATCATCAAGTCCCGGAGATTTGCCACTGCCGACCCTCTTCAACGCCTCGTGGAATTAGCCTTCTCATCCTCACGGACAGCCACTTCAATCGATGAGAGCTGCTTGGTAAATAGTAACGCCTCGCACATGTCGTTGGTTGACCGCAGGCTACGTCCATGCGATGGGGTTGACCGCAGGCTACGTCCATGCGATGGGGTCGACCGCAGGCTACGTCCATGCGATGGGGTTGACCGCAGGCTACGTCCATGCGATGGGGTCGACCGCAGGCTACGTCCATGCGATGGGGTCGACCGCAGGCTACGTCCATGCGATGGGGTCGACCGCAGGCTACGTCCATGCGATGGTGTTGACCGCAGGCTACGTCCATGCGATGGGGTTGACCGCAGGCTACGTCCATGCGATGGGGTTGACCTGTCGAATGAAACGTTCGGAACCTTGATGTATTTCCTCCTTGCGCAATTCCGTGCCTATATTTACAGCTTAGACATTTTAATTTACCTATGAATAACTATCTGGTCTTGATAGCGCTCGCTAGCCAAATGCCTCAGGGTCTGTCTATTTGTCTAAGCATATCTCTAAGGGATCTTCCCGGGACAAAATATCCTTTAATATCTTCACAGCCTTATCTAAGGTGAATCGTTGGTTATATTCAGTGGTGAAAGACCTAATGCTATCCTTAAGATACTCCCACCACTTATTCCCAACTACCACCCCATTAATTCTAGCTGCATTAATGGAGTTGGTTTTAGCAAGAAGTCCTCCTTGTACAGTAAGGACACCTTGAACTTCCAACCATTATAAGACTAGCGCCTAACGCCATCCGGGTACCAACGAGTTTGTGGTCCGAATAGCCTATCCAGTGAAATGTGGTATGATCTAGCAGATCTAGATCGACCCTTCTCACTAACATTCTATCCAGCTAGCTAACCAGATAGGTAGACGGTGTCTACATCTACCCAGGTATCTCTCGATGAGACCAAACTCGTCGACAAAGCTACGATCACGCCACCTCCCGCTAACTCCCCGCGCTTTGTCCAACTTAGAGTCCAGGATGGCATTCTAGTCCCCCATTAAAACTAGGCGCGCCAGATCCACTAGGAACGACCCCCAAATGAGGGAAGTACGAACAACGCTCCATTTGATTGTGGGGCACATAAAGCGGAACGGTCCGAAACAAACCACTTTTCACGGCAATGTCGGTCACAACTAACCGGCCTCCGCATCGACAGTAACTAGGTCCACCCTCGCACATAGAGAACGCTTCACCAGCAAGGAAACACCTCTGGCCTGCCTGTCCCCGTACTGAATAGACAAAACAAGAGCATCGATGTCGCAAACAAAGTAAGTCTCCTGGATCACAGACACATCCACACCGAAGGACAGTTCATGAAGCAGTTGGGACGCCTTACTCCGATCTCTCAAGCCCCTTGTATTCAGGCATGCCAACTTGATAGCCATTTTTCAGCGCCTAAGCACATACTTTCTGTGGCGTCTTCTGTTGCTTCTGTTGCTGT